CCGCGCATTTTTGTGCCGGGGTCAAGTGCCTGCTGATGAAAAGGCAAGCCCTATGCCCTCTACCCGATCAAGTCCTCCTTGCCCCCTCCTCCACGCGTCCCAGCTCGGCAGCAAACCTCTGGCTTGCTGCGCGAACCTTACGAGTCACGGCCTGTGGTAGGACAAGGGCAGTGTATTCTTGGAGGGCTTGATCCAGGTAAATATGAGCAGTAGCAATATGTTCCCAGCGGCCTTTGGCCAAAAGCTGATCGAATTGCATGCCCTGAACATAGGCTACTGTGGCTCCTCCCCGTCTCAAACTGTAGGGAAGATAGTTGAAGCTTTCCAGCCCGAGGTGGTGTACCACCTCGTTCTAAAGTGAGCGGAAGGCTGCAGGGGAAAAATCCACCAAGTTTTTATCAGGCCTGCGTCTCTGACAAAGAGCTCGCAGGCAAGCAATTCCGCTTTTCTCGGTGATGAGGACTTTCTCACTCGTCAAAAAGTTTCGTTGTGATGTCTTTGTGTCATGCAGAAAAAGGATCGCTGACTGTCCGTCTTTGCGGGGTAAAATCACATCCTTGCTGTGAAGCTGAAACATCTCTCCTGTGCGGAGGAGGCCGCAAAAAGGCCACCATGGTCAGCTGAGCTAGGCGAGGGAGGCCAATGCCATTCCCAACGTGTTCCGGCAAATGCCAACACCAATTCGGGACTAAGTGGCGTAGCCCGCAAGGGTTGTTCCAGCTTGTTCCAAAGAAACCAGCTGCCATGCTCCTTTCAAATTTCCTCTGAGCTCTGGCCTTCGATACTGAACTGCGGCCATCACATAATTTGCCATCGTCTTGGGATCTCCTTCCTCCCACAGGAACTCTATGTCTTGGCAAAGCACTGATTCAAGATCTGCTCGATTCAGCAGCTCTACCACTGTGCTTCCCACAAAGGTACTCCGGCCATGCAAAGCAACTGCATATCGTTCTGCGGTCGCTTGTGAAACTCTTTGCTCCGACAACTTTCCCACTCTTTGCCTCTCAGCCTTGCGGTCTTCCTTTGTGGCCCTTCTCTTAATCTCCTTTCTTGGCATCCTTCTCAAAACGCCTGCTTGGACCATCCGCTGGGTTCAATCGGGATGCAATCCAAGCCCACAAAGGAAAAAGGTTCAAAGCGACACACAAGGCTTAGATCTTGCGCTAAATGCGATTGATTGTTCTTGAGCTGCTTCGACCTTTTGTCAGTACAGCTAAGCAGATCTGGGAATCGGACAGACCTACAAGAATGAAATGAAGCTGACCGGGCCCGCCACTCTAGGCTCCTCAAAAACGCCCTCAACTCCAGGAGATTGATGCGCTCGTCTCGGCGCCACTTGTAGGATTGGGCGGTCTTCCAAACTCATCTGCATGAATCTACTGTCGTACGGGCCACAGCATCCGGCCTGTATACTACCTGCAAGTCAAGACGTACATCACTCCCACGAAATTCCATCCTTCGAAGGTATTGGCGAATCAATCTCACATTCAGTCGATCCTTGCCCAACACTGTGTCCTCCCAATCGCAGCCACTGTTCGCGCCTTGGGTTCCGGACCAGCTGGACCAAAGCTTCTTCCTCCTCCTTGTCTCTCTCACTCACGCTGACATGAGTCGTGGCATCATCCTTTTCTCCAATGTCGTCAAAACTCCTCCGAGCCATCTCCTCATGCCATCTCTCAACTATGGCTCTGGCCCCTTTTGGGTCAGTTCGGGCTTGCTTCTTCCACAACCACAGACAGATCCATCAAGCAAGCCACAACCACGGTGTGGAAGCTATTCCCGATAGCCGCTTCTCGTGCGACCGTCTGCTTCCTCCTCTCATCCTCCGTCTCTGCTTGCTTGCGATACAGACCCAAGGTGTACCCCGTGAGGTACCCCAGCAACCTTTCTCTTTCCGTTGCTGATGCCACACGCTTCACCTCTTCTCCCTTGGCATGACGGATAAGGAACTCTGGTCGGTAAGTGTATGGAGGAAACTTCATCTGGTCTTCCTTCCATCTGTCTATCCTGCTCCTATCGCAGGACTGCAGCCCAACTGGCTCTTTGGGCGGATTTCTCCGTGGAATGGCTCTTGTGAAAGCCGGCAACCGAAGATTCTTGTTGACTTCAGCTGCAGGCCCAAATCCACCCTTCATCACACTCTGACCTCAAAGGTTCCAGCTCCTCATTGAACTCTAGCGCATCATAGCGCTCATGATGGTTGAGCTGATAGCTGGCACGGTCATCCAAAGCCACATTGCTCCAGGATAGTCTTGGTCGACGAACCCACGATAAGCACCCCGAGCAAACATGCACCGGACGGCAGCCCAGCTGTTGGCTCATCTGTCTGATGTCTTCCTCATCTCCAACTACATTTTCTATCATCAGAACCGACCATACCCTCATCTCTCTCGCCAGGTCCTTACTTGTAGCGCAACTGGGACCTGGGGTCCGGTCCACGTTCAACTTTGAAAGACCTTGGCACGGGGAGCCTCCTCCCGCGATCACTCCGGTGAGCCCTGGTACACTCCTCATGTACTTTTCGATCTCTCCCTTTGTCACTCTCGTGATGTCAGCTATCACGTCACACCCAGGCCACCTTGTTCTGTTTAGCCTTCGGCATTCCGGGTCTTTCTCCATCACGACCAGGTGATCTACCTTCTGTCCTGCCAGCTCCAGTGCTCGGCTCAG